AAAATGTATTATATCAACAGAAACAAAGAATAAAACCAGATACTAAAATCGAGATATATCTCACTATATTACGTGAGTACTCTTCTAATATATATGAACCAATTTAGTGAGAATTAAGTCTAATGTTATTTTATCAGTTATATATTTTACTATTTTTACATTAAAATAATACACGAGACTCACAAATGAAGATCGTAGTAAGTGATTGCCATATTGCATTTTTATKGATATTCTTGGCGTATTGAGTTGCAATAGCATGACAAAGGTTGTGTAAAACGAGATTCTTAATAGTAATTCCATTGGAGATACTCTAAGAACGGGAGAACCCTTCATCGACCATCAATCAAGTTTAATCTAACAGTTATAACATTAACAATRACAAATATATATACATATATGTATATAGGGGTTCATTCGAGTAAGAACTGATTAGTTTGTGGTAACCGTGAGATTCAATATCAGTCACAAATCAATGATTAAATTAGAAAATTAATAATTTTAGTAATTTTAAATTAAAATATTAATTAAGGGCATTTTAATCATTCTAGATTTTTCCTTTCTCATCCATCCTCTCAACTCTCTCTGTCAAACACCTCCTTTTTCCAACGAACACCATATCAACACATGATGCACACTGTGATACGCTTCATAAAATAACGAAAAAACACAGTGTGATACACCTGGTAATGAAAACATTACATGATATATTGTGTTATACTTCGTAAAACACCAAAAATATATTGTGATACACTTCGTATAACGACAAAAATACATTGTAATACACATTATGATACCAAATATGATTGATGAATATAGCTGTGATACCACTATGTTACCACTRCGATACCCAATAAGTTTTAACAATAAAGAATTATATATTTATTTTCTCRATATTAACTTCATATAAAGAAACTTTCATAATTTGTTTGATTAATAAGAAAACAGTATCAATCTCTTTGATTGATAACCATTAAGAAATTTTTTAACAAAATTACTAATACACCCTTTTTCTTAATTAAGAAAATACAATTAATATAATAAAATGATTGGTTCATATTGGACCTCACATTAATTAGTTCTCATTTGATTAGGCCCATATCTATACTATATTATAAAGCATTTGACTAAAACTCTTAAA